GTTTGGGGGTCCAAGGATTTTGTTTACAGGCTTTTGTTAAGCCGAACGGACTTAAGGCGTAGGCATTAACTACTTCAGGTGTTCGTGTTTGCACATCAAAAGTTTGGGATCGGAGTGTGAGGACTTTGAGGTTTAAGCCTGCATTGTGATTCGGGACCCTAAACCCTATACCAAAACCCTACACCTCAAACCCTTTACCCCCTGAACCCTAGATCCAATCAGAAGCCCCGGCACGAGCGACTGGGAGGTCCATTGGTAGTTGTAAGTAGGGCTTTAGGGTTTATCAAGGGACTAAAGGAAGGACCCTTACCAGGGACCTTGGCACTTGTGCATAGGGACTGTTTAAGTGTATATATATTTATATACTTATATATATATATGTATGCACATGTATGTATAGGGGTTATATATGGGTATATGGGGGAATAAGATTAAGGGTCACTTCTAGGGGTCCCTCCTTATACCCCTTAAGTTCAGGGTAACTTGAGAGTCATAACCGACAATACAGGCTAGAGCTTAGGCGCTTTGAAATAGAATGTCGATGGCAGGTTATGTTAGTAGGGCTCAGGGCCCAGGCGAAACCCTACGTAGCCTAAACTCCACAACCTAAAGCACATATGTTCACCCTAAACCCCTAAACACCTATAACCCCTATAACCCCTATAACCCCTATAACCCCTAATTAAACCCCGAAACCCCTATAACCCCTATAACCCCTATAACCCCTATAACCCCTATAACCCCTATAACCCCTATAACCTCTATAACCCCTCTCACCCCTTTAGCCCCTGCAACCCCTATAACCCCTAAACCCCTAAACCCAAAACCCTAAATCCGAAACCCTAAAGCTCAGTTCGGGTATCCACAACGAGCTTTGGTGAGGCTTTCTTCACCCTAGTGGGCTGGCGCTTCTTGCGCCGAAGCCCCTCGGCGGGCTGTTTAGATCTCGAAGTTTTTCGGATTTAGGGTTTAGGGTTTAGGGTTTAGGGAGACTTAGAGTCTAAAGGTTTATAGGGTTGTTTTCGGCAGTTGTGCTTATGCAGGGCTTGCACGGGACAGGCACCCTCGTACTGGCCCGAGTTTGGCTCCTGCCCTAAACCCTGACAAACCCCAGGGTTTTAGGGTTTGGCGTTTAGGGTTTACCCTTAAAAACCCTAAACCCTAAACCCCGAAATCTGGCAAACACGAAACCGAGCTGTACTGAGAGTCAGGCCCTCCACTCTGCCCAAGCGTGGTTTGCACAAGACCCAATCCGAGCTCCGCAGCCAGGGCTTCGGGGGCTTCGGGTTTAGGGTTTAGGGTTTAGGGTTTAGGGTTTAGGGTTTATTTCGGGCTGAGTGGGCTATAACTGCTCTAGGTTAGGAGTACTTTGAGCCCTACCAGGAGGGGCCCTCTAGTTGCGGGTAGGTAGGGTTTCCCAGCACTTTGCAGAGCCCAAAGACATTTAAATGTGTATAGAGGTTCCCTGATCGTTACAGACCGCGAAGCCCCTAAAACCCCCCAGACTCCGAAACTCCGCAACCCCTAGACCCCGAATCCCTAAACCCAAAACCCTGCGCACCGCCTGTTTGGGATGCCCAGGGGTGTTGGTTGGGTCACTGCTGGGCATAAAAAAGGCATGATAGGGTTCTTAAGGGAGGTGGGTTCATGGGTGGTAGGTACCTAGAGAACCTTAGGGAAGCTTTGGGAGCCTTCGCGAGTAGTGGGGAGTACTAGGGGACCTTGGGTCATACATACCCTAAACCCTAAACCCTAAACCCCTTGAAGCCCCTCCCCCCTCTTAAGAACCTGATAAAGGCATGATGGGCATCTGGCAAGCCCTGGTGACCTACACGGGCATCTCGGTCCGGCCCCGAGTAGAGTTTAGGGTGTAGGGTTTAGGGTTTAGGGTCTAGGGTTTAGGGGTTAGGGGTTAGGGGTTCGGGTTTAGGGTTGAGGGTTTAGGGGTTAGGGGTTCGGGTTTAGGGTTTGGGGATTAGGGGTTCGGGTCTGAAACGGTGTCTTCCGCCCCCTCCACGCCTAACCCTGTGAGCCCGAAACCCCTACAACCTGTGGGCCACAAACTCTAACCCTGTGAGCCCCGAACCCCAAGCCGTGTGAGCCGGAACCCGTAAACCCTGTGAGCCCCCCTAAGCCCTAAACCCTCAACCCGAAACCCTAAAGCCTCCACCCCCAACTATCAAGCCCCGGATCTCTGCCCCTGATTCTCTGGGGGTATAGTTCTCAAAATTGGGTCCCCTTTTGCGCGGTCCTTTTTTTTCAGGGTGGCGCACGATTTAGGGGCCCAAACAACCCTAAGCCCTGAACCCTGTGGCAGGTTTGGGATGCGGAGAAAAAAGTCGAGTTTGGGAGTACCTTGCGGTTGAGGGTTCAGGGTCAGGGTTTAGGGGGAATTGGGGAACCTAGAGCAATCAACTTGTAGCACATGGGCACCTTCTATTTTGGAGACTTGACCCGATAATTTCAGCGCATGTACCTAAACCCTAGAACCCGGCAGCCCTAAACCCAAAAAGTCCCCCAAACCCTGGAACCCGGCAGCCCTGAACCCGTAAAAGCCCCTCCCGCCCAAGCCATGGCATTCGCTTGGAGGAGTTACATGGTCCCTGAACATGGGATCCCAGATTCACCCTAAACCCTAAACCCTAAACCCTAAACCCTAAACCCTAAACCCCTTATTAGAAATCTGGCCTCCCCTGGGTATGGCCTACGCCTGTTTGGAGGTTCATGAGTACTTAGAACCCCAAGTATAAGTCTACTTGTAACCTATTTAGAGGACTTAGGGGACTTCAAACCCCAATTCTATCTGTACTTATAGCCCAATACCATATTAGGGCACTTAAAAGGGGCTTCTGAGTGGGTCATAAATAGAGTTATCATCGGGGTTCTGAAGTACCCCGAACCACCACAGGTGGTGTTTATGGCCGTGATGAGCTGACGCTTGGCCTCGAGACCCGAAGCCCGAAGCCTTAAGTCCTAAACCCTCCACCCTTAGTCCCAAAACCCTAAAACCCTAAAACCCTGAAACCCTAAAACCCTAAAACCCTAAAAGCCCCAAAGCCCTAAAACCCTAAGACCCTAAAACCCTAAAACCCTAAAACCCTAAAACCCTAAAACCCTAAAACCCTGAAACCCTGAAACCCTAAAACCCTAAAACCCTAAAACCCTAAAACACCCTAAAACCCTAAAACCCTAAAACCCTAAACCCCTAAACCCTAAAAGCCCCAAAGCCCTAAAACCCTAAGCCCCGAACCCGAAGTCTCAACCGCATCAGCTCGATGTTTTGGTTTCGGGTTTAGGGTTCGGGTTTAGGGTTTAGGGTTGGGGTTTAGGGTTTGGGGATTGGGCTTTGGGGTTTGGGTTTGAGGTTTAGGGTTTCAGGGTTTTTTGGATTTCCCTTGAGCTTATCCCCCAAAATGCGAGAGTCTTCATTATCGGATCTCCGAAATGAGTTCCCAATTCTGGGGAACTCCCACTTTGCGTTCAGGGTTAAATCCTGAACCCTGAACCCTAAACCCTAAACCGTAAACCTAAACCCTAAACCCTAAACCCTAAACCCTAAACCCTAAACCCTAAACCGCCAAAACCGCTGATTGGGCTTAGTGGGGCTGATTTGAATATAGTTTTGTTCAGCTTAAGCAGGCCAACAAAAGCCTAAAGAATCAAGCCTGAATGGGTTGAGGATTCAGGGCTAGGGTTTAGTGTTTCGTCCCCTAAAACCGGGTTGATCTGCTTAGATTTCCAGGGAGGATTTGAAAACATCAATTACAAGGGCTTCTAGGGGGTACGTAGTTGGATGAATTTCGGATGAGGAGTCCCAGAAGGGTTTAGGACTACTCCGATAGCATCCCACCCCTGACCTGAAACGGGGATCCTCTACTACCCCCCCCCCCCCCCCCCCCGGTCCGGTTTAGGGTTTACTGGAGGCTTCAACTGGAAAAAGGGAAGAAAAGGCCCAACTCAACAGTTGGCATACTTGTGCCTGTATGGTGAGGCTTGTCCGAGCAGACCCGCTGCGAAGTGGACAAGGCTCCAACGTCTGGGTGTTCGCGAGCAACAGGGCTTAGGGGTTTTGGGCATTACTTGGAGGTTCATGGTACTTGTTAACCAATTATAACTGTACTTATAACCCACTTAAAAGCCCCTTAAGTGCCCTAATATGTTCATAAGTACAGTTATAAGTACAGTTAAAATTGGTTAATAAGTACCATGAACCTCCAAGTGGGGTTAGAGGGTGTGGTTTCTTTTGGCGAAGCTTGCTGGCTGCGAGCTTCAACCCCAAAACCTGCACCGCAAGCCCTCCATACAAAACCAAAACTCACCCGAACGGGTAGACCGCCCTAAACCCTAAACCCTAAACCCTATAAACCCTGAACCCTCTAAAGGGACCTCACCATAAGTACCTTCGACTAGCCAGGAAACTGCGGCAGAGCCGAAAAGAGGCGCCTAAGCGAGCAACGCACAGCACGCAAGGCATACGCAAAAAAAACCCTGAACCCTAAACCCTAAACCCTCAACCCTCAACCCTCAACCCTCAACCCTAAACCCTAAACCCTAAACCCTAAACCCTAAACCCTAAACCCTAAACCCTAAAGGGTTTGCAGCTCCGACCTGCTTGTGCTCCGACATGCACGCGTGCATCACAGAAGCCTGCGCACACAGTGCGAAGTACGTGCATACACTACATGTCAGATGCAAGTTGCGGACAGACCATCGTGCAAGGTCAACCCCTAAACCCTACAAGCCCGCCCTAAACCCTCAACCCAAACCCTGTATAGAGCTGTTTCTGGGTGCTCTTTCCGGATAGCTTAGTTGAGAAGCCGTTAAATGTACGTATACCTTAAACAAACCAGAATAAGAGCCTACAGCGATCTAAGGGTTGTTCCTGAACTGACCTTGGAAGATCTGGGGTTCTTGTTTGTCATGCGAAGACTTCAGGGGACATTCCTCTCAAGCTTGCCATCTGGCAGCTCTGCTCTCTGATAATACTGACCTTGCTAAACATGTCGTTTGTGGCTGGGCTTGTGACTGGCGTGGGACCATCAGTGGACGCCATCTACCCTTCTGATCCGACATATGCATCCCTTGGGCTGGACGGGCAAGTCACACCTTACCAGGTGCTCCTCTCACGTGTCAATCGGCTGCTCTATGGCAGCTTGACTTTGTCAGAGTCAGGATCCGAGAATGGCTCCGGCAGTGGAGATGTAGGTTGCTTGGAGTTGAATGGCAGCCCTTCGCCACATGAGCCAAAGTATGTGCAGATCACGCCTCCTCCTGGCCTGAGCCGGGACATCGGTCACGTGGCAAAGGTTTACCCAGTGGCACTCGGTCTTCCCTTCATGGCTTCTCCAAGTGGCTTCGCCAACAAGAAGAATACCCCCCCCCCCCCCCCCCACCGGGACTCCTCCCAGCACCAAGCCAGAAGCAGCGCAACTTCCAGAACTTCAACTTTGCCATCATCTTCAAAGGCTATGACCTGGAGAAGCATGCCGCCTTCGAGCTTGTCCCTCGCATAATCGGCCGCAATGGCGACAACATGAAGAAAATCTACAGAATTGGGGTCGACGTACGCGTTCGTGGTCGCGGGAGTGGCTGGAAGGAAGTCAAGTCACCCCATGGCAACTACGAAAGTGATGAACCGCTCCAGTTGGCTGTTTCGTGCCGTTCGGGGGAGATCAGGGAAGCGGTGTCCCTGGGGCTGATTGGGGAATTTTAGAGTTCTTTGGGCCTTAGACAACCATAAAGTCTTTTATACCCCAACTCCACCCAGGTTCAAGGAGACAATGGTGCTGTTGAAGGGCATCGCGCAGCACTTCCACCGCTTCTGTCGCCAACAAAAGCTGGAACACGTGGGGCTTTACGTGGTGCAGTAGAGGCTGAGGGTTCATCTGGAAACTTTTTGAAATTGTTTTAGGGACCCCCAATCGCTACAGTATGTAATGTAGCCCAGGATGCAATGATCTAGCCCGTAGAGCTTCATATTTTGAGGGCGCCCAAATCCGCCCGTAGAAGATTCATGTTTATAGGGTCCATGTTCAACCCGATGACCCGCCGGAAGATGTGCGTGTGTGTGGCTTATCCCAGTAGGTCAGAGTGTTGGGCTGTGATGCGTTTATAAGAAAGCAGTAACTCTAAAGCATTGCTTACAACTAGATTGTGCTGATACATGTTGACAGTACGTGTGTACACGTATATACTTGTTTAGATTTCTTTTCCTTGTTTATGTTTCTAGATTTGCATTGCAACGCCCAAGCCATGTTTGTTTTTGTGCGTGGCTGTCGACAATTGCGGCGGTTGCACGCTGATTTTCTGAAAGAGCGCCGACTCCACAGAAAGTCGCACTGGGTACAGGCAGTCACTGCCTGTTGGAGCCAGCAGCCAGGGCAATCTGTATCTGTTCATGCTAGATCGACAACATGTAGTTGGATTTAGCGTTGGAACTATCACACGCTGCAATGTGTTTACAGTTCACTGGCCAACATTTTCGTTGCGGCTCTTCCACCAGCAGTTTGGACTGCGTGCCACGATCGGGTACCTTTTGAACAGGGCGCAGGGCAAGCGAAGCTCCGATGGATCCTCCCAGAGCTTGGCAGAACCCTGTCTGTAGGCCCCAAAACCCTACTAAACCCTAAACTCTAAACCCTAAAGGGGTACTGTAGGGTTTAGGTTTAGGGTTTAGGGCCATTGTCCGAATAGCCGCAGAAGCCTCGACACTGATCCCTCGGTGCGATGCCGGATGGCCTGCGCCCATAGAACCATGTTGCACCTGATCAAGGGCTCGATGTCGCCAGAAGCCGCGAACCTGCGACATCTCTGTGGCATCTTGCCCAATGGAATATCCATTTCCATCTCATTCGGCTCAGTGGTTAACCCACGGCATGAATGGATGCAGGCGAGCAAAACGATCTCGTCACCACGCCAGAAGACAAGGAAAAGAAGGACGCGAACATGCAGTTCGATCACTGTTCGCAATGTCGACAGCAGGTGCGGGGCCTGCTGATGACGTAGCCCTGCAGGTTCTGAGGGAATTAGGTACCCTTATAGGATCCCTCAAGGGGTAGATGGACATTCTCCAAAGTAGGGTTTCCCTGTGGGTTACTTTTACAAGGCGTATACTTGGAGGTTCATGGTACTGACCACTTAAAACTGGACTTGTAACCCTACTTACAATACCCCTAAAGGGCCTTATAGGGGTTATCCCAATTATAAGTAGGGTTATAAGCATTATCAGCCCAGTTAAAAGTGGTTCTTAGGTCCCATGAACCGCATTTTAACGGGTCCTTTCAGGGATTCTTTACGGTTCCTAGGTCCCTCATTTTTCTGCTTCATGGGTTTCCCTACTACCCCCTCTTGACTACCCCTTCGAGGTTCCCCCCTTCAATGACCTTAACTAGGCTAAACCCTAAACCTTAAACCCTAAACCCTACGCCCTTAATTATGGGGGGAACCTATCAGGGGTAGGAAAGATGGGTGTAGTAGGGGGAGCCCATGACTACTAGAAGCCAGCAAGCTGCCTTGGAAACCTGAGACTTGGGTTTAGGGTTAGGGTTTAGGGTTTAGGGTTAGGGTTTAGGGTTTAGGGTTTAGGGTTTAGGGTTCAGGGTTCAGGGTTAGGGTTTAGGGTTTAGGGTTTAGGGTTTAGGGTTTAGGGTTTGGGGTTTAGGGTTTAGGGTTTAGGGTGCTATTTTTGCTGTTTCAGGGACACCTGGCGTAAACCCTAAACCCTGAACCCTAATCTGTTCAGGCCCTTCACGGCTTCGCCCTGCTCTTCGACTTCACGCGGATTTTTTTGGTCTTCACGCTGACAGCTGTGGCCGCCAATCTCAACATGGTAGAGCAGCATAGTATCATATTGGGATTTAGGGGGTTAGGGGTTTAGGGTTTCAGGGTTACGTAGGGTTTAGGGTTTTGGGGGTTTCGGGTTTATAGGGTTTGGGGATGTAGGGGTTTGCGGGTTTAGGTCTTGAGGGGTTTCGGGTCTAGGCGAGCTGTGGTAAGAGCAAAGCCGTGGGCTGCTCATGGGAATAAGTGCATGGATGCACGGCTGCCCTGCTGCTTGGAGGTATTTGGAGGTTCATGGGGTAGTCATAAGTAGGGTTTAGGGTCGGATTAGGGTTTAGGGTTTATTTAGGGTAGTTTTAAGTAGGGTTATTGGAATGCCAACTGTACTTATGACCTTGTTTAGGGTACTTTTAACCCTATTTCTAACTGCCCGTGAGCCTCCAATCACACATAGCTGTGCTAATTCTGGTGCCACTACGATATGGACATAAATAGTGATTCGACAGGGATTACTCCAAATCGGGAAATGGCTAGGCCTCATTATGCCGCAATGGTGCTTACATGAATCGTGGGGGCCTTTCGTAATTGCCCTGAGCCGCAACGAAACGTGCACGTCACCATGTACCCAAAACCCTAAACCCTAAACCGCAAACCCCACACCCCTGCCCTAAACCCTAAACCCTAAACCCTAAACCCTAAACCCTAATCCCTACGCCAAGTGATGAGCCCAGGTCGGGACAATGTACTCTCGCTGGTGGGAGATGCGGCGTCTGGCGGGGACGGTGATGGGAAGCATCCAGGACTGGAACGTCCCCAGCCTAAGGCCCGAAACCTAGACCTCTAATTCATGTCAGGGTTTGGGGTTTAGGGTTTAGGGTTTAGGGCTTAGGGCTTAGGGCTTAGGGTTTAGGGTTTAGGTGTAGGGTACCTTAAACTCCCTGAACATTTGAGCCCTCAGACTAAAGTTATGAAACAATTTCTCCCCCAGACAAGCTGAGCCCGGCTAGATACTTGAAGGTTCATGGTACTTGCTAACCAATTATAATTCATAACCGTACTTATAACCCTACTTATAATTCATGGGATAACCCCTACAAGGCCCTTTAGGGGTGTCATAAGTAGGGTTATAAGTACAGTTCTAATTGGTTAGTAAGTACCATGAACCTCCAAGTAGAATTCGGGGCTCACGGTTCGGGCTTTCAGTCTCTCAGGTTGTTGGGCTTTGGGTCTTAAAAAGCTGAAAAAGAAACAAGAAACTTGGGGATGTTCCCCCTTATACTAGCAGTTCCCCATAGGGGAATAACGTGCTCCCTACCACAATTCCTATTTAAGGACTGTTAGAAGTAAGGGGGAACATCCCAACACGAAACCCTAAACCTTGCCAGGATACCTCCATCATTGTCGCCACTTACATCCATGGCGAGGAGACCGCTGCTCCTTGGCGGCAGCCAGCACGAAACCCTTTCATATGAGTCTACCTTAAGCCCCTAAATCCCTCTTCTTGAAGTAACCATGCCGTTGCTACTCGTAACCGCAGCTCTTGCTGGGCATTGCAGCGTTTGCTGAGATGTTCCTAAACCCTAACCCCAAACCCTGAACCCCAATTGAACTCCTAGAGTTCATTTCTGTCTCGTTGCTTTCCAAGCCCTCCATGTTTAGGGTTTAGGGTGTACGGTTTTGGGTTTTGGGTTTAGGGTTTTGGGTTCTTCACGGCTTAGGAGGGTGTAGGGTTTAAGGGATTCTCATGCCCGCGATCCAGGGCTCCGAGTCTAACTCCATAGGCCCCTTCTGAATGAAGGCTCTTAGGACTTTGTGGGGTGCCTTTCCTTTTTGTTGACCCTAACCCTAGGGCCCCATACCCTAAACCCTGACCCTACCATAAGACTGTGAAGAGCTCGGAAGAGGAGTTGCAGTGCGACCTGGTGCGGTACCTGAATTTGTCCCTGATCCTGCTCTACATCCAGGCTGCAGGGGGAGGGGGGGGTTGCTTGGAGGTTCACCGGTAGATATCAGTAGGGTTAGAAGTACTTTAAGAAGGGTTGTGACTAAACCCTAAACCCTACACCCTACGAATAAGCATTAGTCACCATTATTTTTACCCTTTAGGGTTTAGGGTTTAGGGTTTAGGGTTTAGGGTTTAGGGTTTAGGGTTTAGGGTTTAGGGTCTATGTACCCACGAACTTCCAAGTCTTAGTGGTGGCTCGCTGCTGGAGCACTTTAGGGTGCAGACTGGGGTGTGGCCCCTGGCTCTTTGGAGGGTTTAGGGTTTAGGGTTTAGGGTTTAGGGCTAGGGTTAGCATCCGCATTCTCTCCCCCACTGCAATGGCTTCAAATCTTCAACCACAAGCCCGAAACCTTGAACACTAAGCCCTAAACCCTAAACCCTAAGCCCTAAACCCTCGAGCTCTTCCCCCACCCCTCCCTCAGAAAACATCCTGGATCAGTGAGGCCGACAAGAAAGGCCTCAAGCGTGCTGCTTACTCAGATCCCTAGAGCTACGCTTAGGGTTTAGGGTTTAGGGTTTAGGGTTTAGGGTTTAGGGTTTAGGGTTTAGGGTTTAGGGTTTAGGGTTTAGGGTTTAGGGTTAGATCCCCACAGCTACACACGCTAACTCGCCAGCAGCCGACGGGAAGCAGAAGCAAGCAGCAAAAAACCCTTGCAAAACGCCCTGGAACCCAAAAACCGGCCAAGGAGCCAACAAAACCTGCACATTCGGGTTTAGGGTTTAGGGTTTAGGGTTTGGGGTTTAGGGTTCAGGGTTTAGAGTTCAGGCGAGGGAGAAGCACGGTAAGGCGGCCCTCTTCAGCCTGAACCAGCTGCAGGACCATGGGGTGCCCCCAACTGCGGAGTTCAGCTCTCTACTTTTTTGCGGTTTAGGGTTTTGAGGGTTAGGGTTTAGGGTTTAGGGTTTAGGGGTTAGGGTTTAGGATTTAGCGTTGTTTTTGCATTTGCGGAGGCTTCCCGCGATACTACGGAGCTTCATTAAAAGCCCTAAGCCCCAAGCGCCAAGCCCGAAACCCGGCGTTGGTTTGGGATTCGGGATGGTAGTTGGGGCTTCTCCGCGTGAAAGGCCCATGTAATCCTTTTAATTATGAAGGCCCCAGTTGCGGCCCGACATCCCTTGGTTTGGGGTTTTAGGGTTTTTGTGGTTTGTGGTTTTAGGCTTTTAGGGTTTTAGGGTTTCAGGGTTCAGGGTTACTTGGAGGTTCGTGGGTAGTTATAACCTACTTCAGGGGCTTATAAGTACAGTCATAATTCGGGTTCCTCCAAGTATGGGTCCAGGGGCATTTCCTGAACTGCTTCTTCGTGTCCGACTGGCAGGAGCTCGGCTTCGTGACCGCAGAGGAAGAAACCGTTTTGCGGACTCACGACGCCCGGTTTAGGGTTAGGGTTTAGGGTTTAGGGTTTAGGGTTAGGGTTTAGGGTTTAGGGTTTAGGATTTAGGGTTTAGGGTTTAGGGTTTAGGGTTTAGGGTTGGACGGCTTTAAAGGATGCTTCACGTTTAGGGTTGGGTGGTGGCCGGTCGGTGTTCCCTTTCTGTTGAAGGTTAGGCTTTGACAAGAAAACCCTAAACCCTAAACCCTAAACCCTAAACCCTAAACCCTAAACCGCTCCTGTTTGCCCCAAGTGCTATTTGCGCAGCCTGAAACTGAAGCCCCAAGCGGCCCTGTGACCCGATCCCCAACCCCTAACCCTGTACTGTCACGAAGGGTTTTAGAGTTCAGTGTCTGTTTAGGGTTTAGGGTTGAGGGTTTAGGGTTTAGGGTTTAGGGTTTAGGGTAGGGTCCCCCAAACCGCTACTTGGAGGTTCATGGGACTTAATAACCACTTCTAACTGGGCTTATCACCCTACTTAAAATTGGGATAACCCCTAATAAGGCCCTTTAGGGGTATCATAAGTAGGGTTATAAGTACAGTTATAAGTGGTTAGTAAGTACCATGAACCTTCAAGTATAACCCTGACCTCCCAGGAAGGGGTCTCCTCGCTGCATTCGGTGGCGTGCATGTGGCAGCTCGACCGCCCTAAGCCCTGAACCCCAAGCCCTAAACCGCTCAGGTGTCTGGGAGGCTTTTCGGATGGTTGGGGGTTTGGGGTTTTTTTCGGAACTCCCATGCTCTAAACCCTAAACCCTAAACCCTAAACCCTAAACCCTAAACCCTAAACCCTAAACCCTAAACCCTAAACCCTAAACCCTAAACCCTAAACCCTAAACCCTAAACCCTAAACCCTAAACCCTAAACCCTAAACCCAAATTAGTGCGCCTGTTCAGGATCTAGGGTTCTGGGGTTTATGGCTTCGGGGTCGGTTAGGCCACCTTTAGGGTGAGCCCTAAGCCCTAAACCCTAAACTCTCGGTTGTGCTCGGGGCTCACGTCAAGACGTGCTGAGGGCATAGGGTTTGCGGGTCCTCCCCGGTTCTAGATTTACATACGTTGAAACCCTTGACGCCCTTCTCTTCACATGCCTAAAGCTGCTAAACACCCTGAAATCCACTCCCTGCTGCGCCACAACGTCGAAGCCCACAGAACAGGGTTTGTGGGACTTGTAGGGCTAAGCCCTAAACCCTAAACCTTGAAGGGTGTAGCTTCTGTCAGGGGGGCGCCAGACTCCCATACTCTCAATCTACTCAAACCTCTAGTGCCCGAGTGACCTAATCCTCAGCCCTCATGCAACCTTAGTACCCTGCCCCTCTAAAGCCCCAGTATCCGAGTATCCGAAACCCTAACGGCCCAAAGTATCTTGAACCTAAACCCAATACCCCAAACCCTAAACCCTAAACCCTAAACCCTAAACCCTAAACCCTAAACCCTAAATTCCCCTAGCAACCCTTCAACTTCTCAAGCCTCTTGCACCTCTTCAAACGCCTGTGAGCCCAACACCTCCTGGACGCCCTAAGCCCCAGACCCCCAAGCAAGCGCGAGGGTTCAGGGTTTAGGCTTTTATGTTTCAGGTTTCAGGGTTTTAGGGTTTTGGGTTTAGGGTTTAGGGCTAGGGTTTAGGGTTTAGGGTTTAGGCTTCAGGGTCCCAGACCCAGGTTCCTCCAGCTTTGGCTGGAGGCCGTCCGGGACGGCCACGTGCCGGTGGAGGTGGTCTCGGCCCTCAGATGTGGGGGAGGGGTTCTCAGGGACTCCAGTACCCCTTAAGTATGGGTTCAGGGTTTAGGGCTTAGGGCTTAGGGTGTAGGGTTAAGGGTTTAGGGTTTAGGGTTTAGGGTTTAGGGACCCTTAAGTAAGGAATATTCCTTGTACCATATAAGGAACCCTCTTACGTTTAAAGGAATATATTCCTTAATTAAGGGGTATTGGAGTCCCTGGGGGGTGGTGGGTTGTTTAGGGCGTTTAGGGTTTGTAGTGCTTGTAGGACTTTTAGGGATTTTAGGGCTTTCAGGGCTTTTAGGGGTTTTAGGGCTTTTAGGGCTTCTAGGGTTTTTTAGGATTTTCAGGGCTTTTGTGGTTTTCAGGTGTTTCAGGGTTTTGGGATTTTTGAGGCTTTCGTTGGTCTTTTTTGAGGGGGGGGGGGGGGGGTTGTAGGGTTTAGGATTTAGGGGTGCTAGGTGTTGAAGCGCACCTGGGGTCATGTTTATTTATTTTTTTCTTGTTGGGGGGGTGGGTGGGGTTTTGGCTTCAAGGATTTGGGCTTTCCGCCTTCATTCATGTTTTTTCCTAGTTTTCATGGTGCATGTACTTTCCCGAGTTAGCCAAACAAGGCCCACGTAAATTTGATCGGTTGGATATACACAAAAAACCCTTTAAGCCCCCCCCCCCCCCCCTCAGGCGGCGGTGGTGCACCAGTCTGTTCAGCAGAATCTTGGCTTGCTCGTACTTGGCTTAAGGCCCAAGTTGCAGGATTCAGTGCACAGAGGCGTCTTTTGACTTCAGCTTGCTGTGGTTCCTCTAAGTCTGAGGTCCCAGACTTCTACTCACATCAACCGGATTGTTCAACCCGAACCCTAAGTACCCGACAGCCTTTTGCGGATTTCATGCACCCTCACAAAACCTATCCTGCAGTTCTCCAAGGTCCTACATAAGAGGCCGGACAGGTAGGAACCCTGATCCAAACCTTCGTGGCCTGATAAGGGTTCGAGGCACTCCTAACCCTGCCGATAACAACCATAAGCCCTAAACCTAAACCCTATGTCCTAGACCCTAAACCCTAAAATCTCCCGAGTAAGGAACATCACCGAGCTGCGGGGTGCTGGAGCGGCCATTTTCACCTTCCAGCACCCGGGATCTTCAAATCCGGGTAGGGCCTCGGGATTTAGGAAGGTTTTTGAGGGTATTCACCTCGGAATGCATGAAGAGCTTGAAAGGTTATGTCTATAAAACATAAAGTACACAGATATATATATATATATATATATGTATATATATATATACATATAGATATATATATATATATACATATGTGTCGTTGTATGCACATTTTTGTACATACATCTGAGCTTTTCGCCAGAGCTTTAGAGGTTACACGTAAAATCTACACACCTGCGTATGATTCGTTCAACAGAGATCTTGGGCTTGTTTTGAGGTTGTTGTTGTTTCTGGGGGGGGGGGGGGGGGGGGGGGTGTGGAGTAGTTGGTACTTGGGTGGTGGGCTGAGGGGTGGGAAGCTAAGAGTCTGAACGGCATGTGAAGGGTGGAGGGACCCGAAGAAGTGGCCTACCTTTGAGGGCGACTGGCGAGCCTTTTGGGTCTTCAGCTGTTCAGCGTTGGGTTTTAGGGTTTGCCTTAGAACCCCCCCCCCCCCACCAAAAAAACACATTATTATATGTATACATATATATATATATATAGATAAAAGCTTCAGTTCTAGGTTTTCTGCACACGAACTTCCGTTATGCTCAGGCTCTTGAGCTGAGGTCTTTTTTTCGAGGTCACAGTGGCGTACTCGGAGGTTCATGGTACTTACTATATAACCCTACTTATATTTGGGATAACCCCTATAAGGCCCTTTAGGGGTATTATAAGGAGGGTTATAAGTACAGTTATAATTGGTTAGTAAGTACCATGAACCTCCAAGTAGGGCTTTAGGACTGCGGAAGGAAGTCTCCTGCCGGTTCTTTTGATCGCAAAATGTGGGGGGTTTAGGGTTTAGGGGTTTAGGGGTTTAGGGTTTAGGGTCTAGGGTCTAGAGATCGGGGCTGCGAGCAATGCGGTCCCTCGCATGAGCCTGCACCCTCTCGCCTGGCCTCAAAGCCTAAACATTGAACTGCAAAAAAGGGTTTAGGGTTTAGGGTTTAGGGTTTAGCGCTTAGGGTTTAGGGTTAGATGATGAGGAACACGCCCCCGCCCATTGGCTACTTCCGTGTGCTGTGCCTCGGCTCTGCAGCGGGTACCCTAAACCCTAAACCGTGGCTCTGCAATATGCATCATGGGCTGTTCGTATACCCAGACCCCAGGGGCAGGATCCAAACAGTCGATCCCCTGAAGGGTTCCTAAGAATGACCCAATAGGGTTCCTAAGAATGACCCAATATGTAGTATAGTGTACTGTTTGGGGGTTCGGGCACAGGTTTGGGAGTTTGGGCTTGAGAATTCCAGGTGAAATGGTAGGTGTGTGGGTTGGGTTCAGGGTTTAGGGTTTAGGGTTTAGGGTTTAGGGTTTAGGGTTTAGGGTTTAGGGTTTAGGGTTTAGGGTTTAGGGTTCAGCGTTTAGGGTTTAGGGTTTAGGGTTTAGGGTTTAGGGTTTAGGGTTTAGGGTTGTCAAGTCTGGGCACAAAGTGCGAGTGTGGATCGTCAAGCCTGGCTTCTCATGGGTGTTGGGATTTTTAAGCACAATGACACCCAGGGCTTGTTACCCTAGGCCCTAGAAAACCCGCAGCCTATAAGCCCTAAACCGTACAAAGCCCTGTAAGCCCTAAACCCTAAGCCGGATACACCCTATAAACCCCATGACCCTAGAAGCCCTAGAAGCTGGGAACACCATAAACCCTATAAACCTTACTCGAAGCCTTCTATCTTACTGGTCCACAGTGCGGGGTTCTGCTTCGAAAGTCGGACTTATTGGGTTTCGAGGTCTCGGGCCTAGGGTTTAGGGCTTTAGGGTTTAACAGCTTAGTGTCATGTTCTTTCGGGTGTAAAGGTTTCATGTCTTAGGGCTCTTGAGGTTTTAGGGTTGAGGGTTCAGAGGCCGGGCCTTAAGAGTCTGGGGCCTATCAGCAGTGGACCCGAGGATGCTTACAACGGTGCTGTTTGGGATCTAGGTACGCTGCCCAGAGCTCCCAACGAACCCTTAGTCTTCTTGACGCCGCTGCCCAAGTTGTGCCCCCTGTGCCTAGGTACATGTTGCTGAATCTGTCCCTTTTGATCGCTCCTTTTGGCATCTACGCAGCTCTGGCCTCTTTGCAAAGAATGCAAGTTTTCGTGGGCAAGTCCTGACCGTTTCCTGCATGCTAGCAGTTTAGACGCAACGCCTGATGGGTTTGGGGTACTGGCTATAAGGTTTACATTTTAGGGTTTTTCTGAGCTAGCGGAAACTTTGCTAGAACATAGGGATGCTTGCTGCGCCTCCGACCTCTCCACCCAAACCTCGATAGCTAAACCCTACCTCGGTACCCCAATGGTACCCTTTTGCCATTTTTGGGTTGCCGCGTGCCCTAGTATCAGCTGCTCCATCTTGCTGCTGCTGCTGCTGCTGCTGCTGCTGCTGCTGCTGCTGCTGCTGCTGCTCCCTAAACCCAAAAAATCCAAAACAAACCCAAAAAAAACAAACCCAACATACCCTAAACCCCCTAAACCCCTGAACACCCGGTTTGTGGCCTTCCCGTTTTCGGTTGCTCTATGACCCTAAACCCTAAACCCTAAACCCTAAACCCTAAACCCTAAACCCTAAACCCTATGAATCAGGAGAGCAAAGACGGCTCCCAGGTGCATAGATGGATGCTGGGCCGCAGTCAGAAACCCCAAAATGTAGGCTTTAGGGTTTAGGGTTTAGGGTTTAGGATTTAGGGTTTAGGGAAGGGTTTAGGGTAACCCGACCCTAGGGTTTAGGGTTTAGGATTTAGGGTTTAGGGAAGGGTTTAGGGTAACCCAACCCTATATACCCTACCTGCCCTATAAACCCCAAATTACGGGTTTTTAGGGTTTAGGGTTAGCCCTGTGAACCCTATGAAACCCCATGAACCCTGTGAAGCCTGTAAACCCTTCTGCATCCGAAATGCAGATCCGATCGCTTCAAGCTTGGGGCGAAGGGGTGCCCAGCGCTTAAGCAAGAACCCTAAACCCTAAACCTAAACGTAGACCCCATCAAGGGAGGAGTGTGGTGTTGGGAGTCTGCGGTTTTTAAGTTGTTGGAGATTTTCAGCCCTGACCCCTAAGCCCCAAACCCTAAACCCTACAGGGTCTGTTCTTTCCTTTAGGGTTTCGGATGATGTCGCGCCATGCTGGAGAATTGGGCCCCCAATTAGGTGGCATGACATCGGCACACTGTACTGTAGCCTCCTCTCCGGGTTTACAACCTGGGTTTGGGGCTGTCATTAGGATTTAGAGCGTTTAGAGTTGTGGGGGTTTGGGGTTTAGGATTTTAAGGGTTCAGGGCTGGGCTAGGGATCATGCAAACGAGCGTGTGAGTGTCTACACACTCATCATCAAGGTTCGTGTCGCTTTGCATGCGCCGTGGCTTATTTTGCGCAGTTGTGCTTTGGAATCGCAGCTGCCCTCCTGTACATGCAATGCTGCAAACTCCGAACGGGCCTAACGGGGCGCAGATGAAGCCCGCAAGATACAGCAAACCCTAAACCCTCAACCCTAAACCCCAAGATGACATGCCTGAAGCCGGTGCTATAGCTGCGAAGCCGAAGGTGAAACCGAGCATCAGGCTGTAGGTTTAGGGGGACGACCTACAATGCCAGCGACCAAATCCAGGCCCTCAAAACCCTAAACTCCCTAAATTCCCTCTGAATGCAGGATGGTAGTCCCGGTGGTTTTTGTCATCGCCTTTTTCTTGCTCTCCTTCATACGTGCTTTGGCTGCGAGGATGGTTCACCCCGAGCGCTGAAGAGATAGCGGCAAGAACGAACAACAACAATGCCCGCAAAGGAAAAATATAGGGCCCTGAATAATTGACTAGGGTTTTGGGGACCCAAGCCCTAAACCCTGAACCCTATACATCTGGGGGTTATTCTAGTATGACTACAAGTGGACCGTCAGGGAGTACTATTATTAGCAATTATTCCGACCCCATGAGTCCTAGACTTTGCCCGGGCCCGTGGAAGCTGGTTTAGGGTTCAGGGTTCAGGGTTCAGGGTTTAGGGTTTAGGGTTTAGGTTTTCGGGTTTAGGGTTTAGGGTTCAGGGTTTATACTGGGCTAGACCCCAAACGCTTGAACCCTAAAGCTCTGGATCGTGGGGACTCTCAGAATCCTTGGGGTCACGGTGTGGGGTCAGAACCTTGGGGTTAATGGGTGGGGTTTACAGGTTTAGGGTTTAGGGTTTCGAAAGAACACAGCCAGTTCTCTAGCAATAGGTCCTTTTTGGGTACGCAAACAGAGACAGGGTCGCATTCTAAAAGCATCCCAAAAGAAGACCAGAATGCAGGAAGCCGCCCATACCGAATCGAGCCAGCCACGCTGTTTCTACCCTGAAGCCTAAACCGGATACCCTGAACCTTACACTCAAGTCCCCAACACACTGTGCCCTTCACCGCAAATCCCAAGCCCCCATACTGCAAGGGATGTGCTACGAGATGTTTGACCCCTTCTCGGACGGCGCTGGGAGCCATTTCCCGTTGAAGCACTACCTTGAGTCCACGTTGAGATACTTGGAGTAAAGGGGGACTCGAAAGACTTAGCGTCACTTGATCCTGCCGACATGTTTGCGGAAAATGTAAGGGATCGCAGGAATCGGCATGCGACAGTAACGCCCGAAATCCAGAGCCTAGAGGGCATGGGGTTTAACCTGTAAATGCAGCCTACAAGTTTGGGGGCTACGGCTGCTTGTTTTTGCCCTAAAGGCCCAGCCTGGAGACACGAATTTCGTGGGGGTAGGGATGACTATAGTGTCTAGAACAACCCGAAGGCCTCAAAGCTAAGCCCAAAACCTCCTTCCGCAATGAGCTGTATCTTACAACTGGCGCCCGTCCCTGGAACACAGTTATCAGAGAAGTCTTAATCCACAACGCGAGCCGACAGAGGTCTCCGATGCTTGGTTCTTGTTTCCGAGCATTCTCAGCTCTAGTCGCTTGCCCCCCTGCTGTTGAACCTCCCTAAACCCAAAACCCAAAACCCCAAACCCTAACCCTCCCCCCAAAACATAAGTATCTGGAATTGGGCAGAAGGAATTTCTCTTTCGCGGGTATTAGACTTTGGGGACTGAAAGGGCACCCGTGCTACCCTTATTCACTTTATGCGGTTTAGGAGCGCTTGTCAACCTATTGGAACCAAGGAAGGGCACCCCTAAACCCTAAACCCAAAACCCTATACCCTGAACCTTGGGATAGCCTCGAAATTAAGCCAGAACTCTATTCTTTATTGAGAGGGTGAGCAATGAGGGATGTGTCCTAAACCCTAAGCCCTGATCCCGAAAAACCCCCGACCCTAAACCCTAAGCTCCAAACCTTACACTTTAAACTGTGCCAAGAGACTTGAAGCCTCCGAAAGAGCGTGGTCTCATGGATTCATCCCGGGTGCAGAACTCTTAAAACCTAGGGTTTAGGGGTGTAGGGGTTTAGGGTTTAGGGGTATATATTATGAACCCCCCCCCTCCCCCTAATCTTAAATACTCCCATTAAAGTTCCATTTTTCGTGTATGGGGGGAAATTTAATATTAGGGGGGTAGGCGTAAACATAGGGAGAAGTGATCAACCCTAAAGCCCCTAAACCCTGAAACGCTGAAACCATATAAGTGCTCCGACTGGCCTTAGTTGGGGAGGAAAAAGGGGCTACTGAGGCATATATACATATATATGTATATAGGGACTATATAAGGTACATATAGGGCCTATATAGGGGAAAAAGGGTCCTATATAGGGCCTATATAGGGGAAAAAGGGGCTACTGAGGCATATATACATATATATGTATATAGGGACTATATAAGGTACATATAGGGCCCAAAAAAGGGGAATAAGACCCAGGGTCCCTTCTAGGGGTCCCTCCTTCTACCCTTTACCTGGTGAGTATTTTGGTTCACATAAGAATACACCAACACATTCATTTCTTAAACAAAAAACAAAAATTGGACATATGTTAGAAACCCTAAACCCTAAACCCTAAACCCTAAACCCTAAACCCTAAACCCTAAGACTGATGTGACTTTGGCTAGGATCGACTTTTGCTTTGCTGGAGATGCCACGCGAGGGGCGGCTCCGCTCCTTGCTTGGATTTAGGGCTTAGGGTTTGGAGGTTTAGGGTTTCGGGTTTAAAGGTTTAGGGTTTAGGGTTTAGGGTATGCACTTTGCTTGAGATGGGGTTTGGGGTTTGGAGGTTTAGGGTTTAGGTTTTAGAGGTTAGGGTTTAAGGTTTAGGGTTTTTGGGTGCAAGGTTTAAGGCTTCGGGTCTGGGGTTTCGGGTTTAGGGGGTTTAGTTTTTTTTTTTTGGGTTCGCGGTTTCGTTTTTGTTTTGGATTTGGGGGGTTGGCGGCACAGGGATTTAGGGTTTGTGTCTGCTTTAGGGTTCAGGGCCGGGTCTCCAACCAGAGGCCCCTGTATTGGGTTTAGGGTTGAGGGTTTAACGTTTAGGGTTTAGGGTTTAGGGTATACTTTTGCCTGTTATTGGGTTTGGGCGCGCATCTTGTGTAGGAGTCTAGTTTCTGCTGGCCAGCCGAGAATTGCTTGGAGCACTTGATGTAGGGGTTTAGGGTTCAGGGCCTTGCCTGCACGGTCATGGGTAACTACAAGCAGGGCTATGTTGGTAACTCTATTTCTGACCCAACCCTACTTAAAGCCGTAGTAGCTGAGTGAGTACACTTTACACTTTTTGGGATACTCTAACCCCCTATAGAACTGAAAGTGTACACTTTTTTGGGGCTTCTGAACTCAGCAACGAAGCAACTGCCCATGAACCTCCAAGTAGGGCTTCTTGCAACCCAGGATACTATCGAATCGCCGGCCGCAACGGGTCCCTCGTGGAGGTGGCTCTTCAAGCCCTAAACCCTCAACCTTCAACCCTCAACCCTAAACCCTAAACCCTAAACCCTAAACCCGAGCCTCTTTTTCTGGTGTTGAATGGGAAGTTTACATGGGAGCTCACCCTGCAGAGGGGTTTAGGGCTGAGGGTTTCGTGCTGGGGCGGTCTGACTTAGGGTTTAGGGTTTAGGGTTTAGGGTTCAGGGTTTAGGGTTTAGGGTTTAGGGTTTAGGGTTTAGGGTTTAGGGAGCACTCTAGGTTAAGGATATGTAAAACCCCCCAGGTTGGGTTTAGGCCCTTTTCTGGCTTTTCGTCTCCAAGACATTTATTTTTGTGGGATCTCAGGGTCCCTTTTAAGGGTTTCGGGTTTGGGGTTTGGAGAGTCTTCTTCTGAGGAACCTTGTCGTGAACAGGTTTCTCTCAGGGCACCCGAGTTTGTGGCTCTCTCTGCTTGAGGTGAGGCATGCTTGAAGGGGTTTAGGGCTTAGGGTTTAGGGTTTAGGGGGTTTAGGGTTAGACTGAGACAACTCTACACATCATGGTTTGTGTTAAGATTCTTGCCCCAGAGAGGTTCGTGTCTTTCGAAAGGTACACCGTGTGAAAGGTGCCCTGTGTAGTCTTTTGGCGTTCCCTGCTACTCTACGGGTAGTTTCATGGGCCCTTAATATGGTCTCTTGCCTCCCCTAAACCCTAAACCCTAAACCCTAAACCCTAAACCCTAAACCCTAAACCCTAAACCCTAGGTTGTATAGGGTATAGCAGGGGTATATAAGGAGTCCCCTTCTAAGGGCCGATATTAGGGGACCACGCAAGTACCCTAAGATGTTACAATGCAGTCCCCCCAAAATTCCTAACTCCGGAACGGACCATATGTCCCATGCAGGATCCCCTCCAATCATCTTGTAAGGTTGGGGTGTCGGTCCTTCAATTCAAAACGTTCTGGCTTTGTTCTTTGCACGAATCAACGAAGACGCCTGGTAGCACCGTTCCCTCCATTCCGCTGCTCTCGTGCCCGTTTGCGATGGACTTCGCCCCAACTTTGTCCCAGAAACCCCTCAGCCAAAGCCTTATGTGCTAGTAATCCTCTTGAAGGTGACTCACCTGAACTCGTCCATCGCTTGGATAGCACACCTCACGAAGCCTTCTCTGCCCAACAGGCTCAAGGGGGTTTCCAAAATAGGAATACTCTTTTCGAGCGTGCTCAATCCCTCATTCCTAAAACCCTATATAAACCCTAAACCCGAAACCCTAAACCCGAAGCCCTAAACCCTAAACCCTAAACCTTACTACAAATCAGCAAGTCTGAGCGGAGTTTGGGTGCAGGTCGTGCCGCCGCTTGAGGACTCACCCAGTGCAGCGCAGGCAGCCTTGCGGGGGCGCGGTTTAGGGTTTAGCGTTTAGGGTTTAGGGTTTGGAGAGTTTGGGGTTCTATTCCCTAACAGCGTTTCAGGCTGTCTCCGCTTACTTCTTCGCTCTCTTGGAGTTCTGCTAACAGTGCATTCTGCTGAAAGGAAAGGCGTAGGAGTCTCTAGGGTTGAGGGTTTTAAGAGCCCCTCGTGTTTGCAGCATAGTGAGGGCTCACGGGGTATTTTGCATCTAGGTGTTAGGGAACAGCCCTCTCAAGACAACCCTTGGGGGTCGGCGATCCTAAATGTGAATGTGCTAGAGAAGAACCCCAACCTGCCCTAAACCCGAAACCTTAAACCCTAGCCCTAAACCCTAAACCCTCAACCCTAGCCCTAAACCCTAAGCCGTAAACCCTAAGCCGTGACAATGACCCGTGATGCTCCACAATGGGGCCAGACCGATGATGAGCTGCTTGGTCATCAGGGCTTCGACATTACCTAACCCCCAGCATGGCGTATCAAAAAGCACTCGTATGAACTGGGGGCATGTGGGGGTTTAGAGGCGGGGAGCAGAATTCCCTAACTTAACCCCTGAACCCCTACAGCCTAACCCCTACTCCCCTGAACCCCGCAACCCTAACCCCCTAACTAAACCCTAAACCCAAAACCCCCAGGTACGACAGGGTAGCAGGGACCCAGAACGTGAGCAGGTAAAGGGATTAAGACTCGGACTCGTACCCCTAAGGTTGTACCCCTGAAGGTTCTCCTTGTAACACTCCTAATATGGCCCATCATATGCTGCCTTAAGGATCTTAAAAGGCTTCCACAAAACCCAAGGGCAAAACCTTAAGCCCTAAGCCCTAAACCCTAAACCCTAAAAGCCCTAAATCCTGAACCCCTAGAATGAAACCAGGTCCAAGCTACAACCTTAAAGGTCCAGGGCACAAACCCTCTAAACCCTAAACCCTAAACCCCAAAGCCCAAAGCCCAAAGCCCAAAGCCCAAAGCCCAAAGCCCAAAGTCCAAAGCCCAAAGCCCAAAGCCCAAAGCCCAAAGCCCAAAGCCCAAAGCCCAAAGCCCAAAGCCCAAAGCTCTAAACTAAACCCCTAGAGCAGGCGCCCTGCGCTTCGGAGTCTCGGCTTCTGAGCAGGCCGCCTTCTTCAGGTTCGTTGCTGATGGTTTGGGGTTTGGGGTCCCTAAACCCTAAACTCTAAACCCTAAACCCTAAACCCCAATTAGTCTCGATGGGTTTAGGGCTTAGGGTTCAGGGCCCTAAAGGTTGAGACCATGTTTCGTATTTGGAAGAGTGTTTAGGGCGTGGGGTCTTTATGGGTCAAGGGCCTGGAGGTCTCAAGGCCCT